TTTCATCTTACTTTGTTCAAGAGTTATAGGGTCGTAATTGAGTTCGTTAAACGATGAGAAAAAAGTGAAAAAATTAAAAACGATTCATTTTCTCTCGAACGAAGTAGTATTAAGAACTGAAAGTTTTAGCACGTATTCTTTGAAAGGCCATCAAACGTTTTCATAGGATCGATACCAAAGATTTAGTTTTCCGGAAAAACCAAGTGTAAGCAGAGCTTTCTAAATATGGAAGAAGGTAGAACAAATACTTCTGAATTTTTAAGTAAGGCCTTCTCGAGCTATGGGCAATTTTCTATCAAGAGTTTTGGCTTTTACAGAGTTGTGCAGGCGATCAGAACGATATTTAGGCAAGAAAGATTATTCTCATCAATCAGTAACTTTTCGCTGGACACAATAGTTTGAAAAATTCTTGTCTTACTGTTCTCTAATTCTTACATTTGCGTTTAGTACTTTCTGTGTGTTCTCTTTTTTTCGTAGACGAATATTCTGATAAACTAGTCTACACTTATATTATCTCTGATAAAAATATGAGCCCGATCTGTTAGTTCAATGGGCACCACCTGTCTGACCTGACCTACATATGGCTCTTAGCTATACTAAACATCTTAATTTTTCTGATTTCTATCTAGGTCCCGTTGAATATATCGTCTGTTCCGTGCAAATCTGGTGCTAATTGCAAGAATATGTCGTGTACCTTTGCTCAAATGCCTCAAGATCCTTTGTCAGCGGATGAGGCTGGACAACGAACTGGTGTGCTTGGTATTAACTCAAAGATCTGTAAATTTGGTGAGGATTGTGCACGAAAAGATTGTACTTTTACACATGACAAACCACGAAAAATAGATTTAACAACACATTCATCCGATATTGATGATGTACCCGCTAACAACTGAACGTTTTCTAAACATTTTCAAACATTTTCTAAACAAAAAAGCAGGAAAGTCATGAACGAAATACGGCATGACTGACGAGGGAACATCACCAACTGCCCCCTCACTTTTGTAATGAAAACCATTTGGTTATAGACTGTCGATGGTACTGATTTCGAATATGACCATGGGGGTGGCAGTTAGGCTTTCAGAGAAACGGTTTTCTATGGCGAAAACCTTTTTTTACTAAAAAGGCTTTTCGATCTATCAGATTGTAGAGCATATCGAGTTGTCTATAAAGCACTCATTTTTTTCGTTATAAACCGATTGTAGAAGATGAATACTTGTGATTTTATAATAAGTGCAGTTCTCTGCATTCGTAAATCATCTAAAGATATTACGATACTAGGATCTTTAGGGTCGTTGGTCATGCCATTTAAGCCATGTTTATCTTTCTCAGCGCGAAGAGCTCATCGTAGATGGAGAGAGAAAATCAAAATGTGCGCATACAGAAGGGAAATAAAACTTGTGAGATAATTAATATTTATTAGCAGTAACGCTTACCACCCACAAACGCCTAATATTGAGAAATAAAACGCACCAAACTGTTTCTGCCTAATCTAACTCTTTTTTTTCAAATAGGCAATAAGAAAATTGCGCTCGCACACTTACTTCAGAGCTTTGTGCTTAGAAATCCCCAACGGCTATATAACGTTCTATAATCGGTTCAGACGAAAAAAATGAGTGCTTTATAGTAAGTAAGTATATCCAGATACCTTTCGGTGTAGGATGAGACAAAAGAAGTGCTTTATAGACAACTCGATATGTTCTACAATCTGAATAGATCGACAATCTTTTAGTAAAAAAAGATTTTCGCCAGAGGAAACCGTTTCTCCGAAGACCTAACTGCCCATATTCGCTCCCATGGTCATATTCGACATCACCATCGCCGATGGCCTATAACCATATGGTTTTCGTTACAAAAGTGAGGGGGCAGTTGGTGATATTCCCTTGTGAGCCATTTTTCACGTAAGTATGAAACATTTTGATTCCAACAAAGTAGCTCACATGAATATTTTACTTGAACCCAAATGAGAAACAGAAGTGCAATGATGATACAATTTAATGCAGAGCTTCTTACTAGCCGAAAGGAAGCAAGATCGACGAAGAAAAACTACCCGCTTACTGCATAACGTATAGTGAGCTTTCTTTCAGGATAAGTTTTGAAATTCATTGCAATCCGATCTGGTTTATGCGATAAATTGTAGGGATTGTGGTAATTGGTATATGGGTAAGACCACGAGACACGTGTATCGCAAACTAATGGAACACGGTACACCCAAATGTGTTTCAAAGCTAGCACCTCTACACTACCAATCCCCTTACCATTAACATAAAGTGATTTTGGACTTTCCAGAAACACTAGAACTAAAACAAGAGTCTCACGGTATTCTAATTCATCGAATTTAAGATGTTCATTACGTATGGCTCAAAAGCTAAAAGAAAAAACGTTGTGTCAGACTCTTCGTTTCTTGACGACGATTCTTTTTAACTGACAAAGGCTCAAAGTAAATCAGCTCGAGGACGATACATGTTAGACACAGGACATGAAATAAATTGGAACGGATTAGTTTTGCTCAGGGATAGTAGTCCTGACCGATTATTAATTAAAGAGTCTTTAGCAATTTTAAGTAACAAACATAGGCTAAACAATACCGCTCTATTCCACTTTTCATTTTTCCTGAAGAAATTTCAAAACTCTAATCAAAGATCCGGGTGGACAGAGTATTCATTTAGCATTTTACTTTCTCAGACCGCTGAAAAAGTGCCGAGAACACCCAAGGAGAAGAAAAATATCGACTATCGGGCGATCTAGCTAGCTAACTCAATATACTACCCGATATACCTAGCTAGCAATTCGAATTGGGTTATTTACTATCGGGCGATATAGCTAGCTAACACGATACATTACTAGA